ATACGACTGCCAAAAGGAGTGTAACCGTGATAACGGTTCATGTGTGTATATATTTTTTTCATTTTATTGAATGCTGTACTAATGTTTATACAATAATATAACTTAGTCATGTATGTTTGTATGTTGTGCAATAGTTGGGATGGAATCCAGGTCTTGCCTAGAGAGAGGTAAGAGAGGGAGAGAGAGGACGGAGAAAGTAAAAGAGAGGAATGAAGCTGAGATAAGAAAGAAAGGAAAGTAATTTTAATATATAGAGGTAATAAAATATATAGTGTACTATGGTAAGAATAGGTGTGTGTACAGAAAAGAGACAATCTTAGAATAAATTTATAAATCGATACTTAATTTCGAACTAAAATATAATTCTAAAGAAAATATTACTAGAAAAAAATCCACGCCGACCAGGCAGCAGACGGGACTTCGACTACGGGACTTTAGATTTAAACATCGAGCAGTTAAATGCTTAAAAAATATATCTTAAAAGCAATAACAACAATATAGGTTCTAACCTACATTATATAATTTACATCACATAACAATATGATAATAGTTTGGTTTTATCCCTATGTATAAACAATTTTGTCCCCATTTATTTTCCTCGCATCATATGTATGTTTGAATGTGCCTATCTGTATTTTACTATTCCACATGGCTGAAAATAACTTTGCATGTATTATGGAAACACTAGAACTCACATCATTACAAATGTCAGTAGCTATTAATTAAACGAAAATAATAAAACGGAGGCGAAAGGGTGCTATATTGAAGTATTTTTTTAATGTAAGCCAATTCTAAAGCTATGTCAGGGTGTTCACACAAAACAATCATTTCATGTTTGGCTGAAAAACCTTCGTACTTGGCACTAAGCTTACTGTGAAAATAGTAATTTTAGAAACCAAAATAACACTGTAATAGCTCCGTTATAAGGTTTTTGCATGGAACCCTAAAAGATATTCATCGAAAATAGTGATAAACTCTACATTTTCATGCAAAAAAGTGTTATTAAACTAATATAATGAAACAAGTTTACTTGTTTATGAAAGCTACATATTTATGGATATTACCTTGCTAAATGTGACATCTTAATTACATATTAGAATACGTAATTGATTGTTATTTCCAAAAATCTGTGTGTTGCTATATTATTTTTTGTGTCACTTTAAAACACGTGCGTGCAATATAATCTGAGGGCTCACTTTAATCATTGAAAAATCTTGTCAGTGAGTCAAAGGCGAGATTAATTGCTATCACTACTAAATTTTGAAAGTGGAAAGGTCCGATAACGACCTACAAATTAACTCATCGGTAGCGGTCTTCCGTTAGAAGCTTACAAAGTTGAACTTGGCAACGGTTTTCTTGTAAATCGAAATTAAATTAAAAAAGTATAAACCTCATTTCGGACCAGTTTTTTTTCACTGATTGTTAAGTTTAGCGAAGGGCATTTTATCACGTTTCGGGTGCTTTTTTAAGGTTTTCAATGGTTTAAGACTTTGTCGCTTAAAACAAAGAACAAGAGTTTTCATTATATACCATATACTTAGTATTAGCAGACAAAGGATTGTTTTTCGAAAAATTATGCGTAGGTAATTAACCTACTCTTTTTAAATTGAACGTAAAGTAAGCCGTTTTTAGGGTTCTGTACCTCAATCGTCAATAACGGAACCCTCATAATGATTTTTTAACTACAGCGTTCATTAAAATTTTGTAAAAAAAAATACGATGAAGCTCTTTGCTTGTAGATTACAGGAAAATCTATAAGAAATTTATAGTATCTATGCCTGGTTTTGGTTCCTTTCACGATATAAACTGGCACACATACTATTCTATTTACGTAATTTGACTCTGAAATGTTAAAACTACTCGTCATATAGTTATTTGCAATGGTACGGAACTGTCTGTGTGTGCGAGTCCAACAGGCACGTGGCCGGTTTTAAGACTCATCCACATTCATTCATTATGGATGTTCTTCTTTCATAGAATACGTTTTGAACAAGAAGCCCATAAATATTGAAGAAACATCTGTGGGAAACTAACCTAGAACAGTTATCCAACAACAAAGTTCAAGTATGTAAATTTTTTAAAATATTTGTATAAACATTTTTTATGTTTATATCTATATCAAAGTTTGTCAGATGGATCAATAGTATAAGTAATTATTTCATTGAATAACGATTTGTGTTTTTTTAAAGCCAATTAGCTGTAAAAGTCTAGAATATTTATACAATAGAGTATTTTTCTATCTACGGAAGCGAGATGTTTTTTATTTATAACACATATTATGTAAGGTCCCACAAAACAACATTGTTATTAGGCATTAAATCATCTCTAATATTTCATTAAAGGAAATTTTCAATCAGTAATTTATTTTAGTGTTACGAAAACAAACAATTTATATAGTGGTGTTACATTCGTTATGCTTCAGAAGCATGACCAATTTTGAAACCTTAACCGATGGATTTAGATAGAAACTGAATAGGTACAGATTTCTCTACAAAATTATACGTTATAGCTTTAATTTTTGGCTTGAGAGATAGAAGTAATCACGTTTATTTGTAAAATTATTTATTCTTAAATTACCCTGTATAAAAGTGAAACCATGTTGATTTAGGCTGAAATTTTATCATAGATGATTAATGCTTTCATGTTATTCCTTTAGATTCTATTTTTCATTAAGTTGATAAAATTCTTAGAACTCTATAAAACGTTACAATGCTAAGAAAATCACTCAACTGTATATAAGTATGTATATATGTTGCTGCGGACTTTATTATACAACTTTTAAAGAGGAACAATTCCGTCATACATGGTTTTTGTGTAACTTTATCCGTTTACGCAGTACTCGCAACAAACGCTTGAAAAGTAATATATTTTTCCCGTTTTCGTAACATGTTTCATTGATGTTCCGCTTCTATTAGTCTTATCAGGATGGTGTATAGTCTATAACTTTCACAAATTATTTATGATATTAGTGCGGTAAGTTGGTTATTACAAACAAGTAGACGAATTTAAGCCCGGGATAAAGTCAAGGGCTTACATTCGTCATAGTCACGAGTTTGTAAACTAAATACCAACCCGCACGAAAATCATACGTTTTTCAACGCATTTGCGAGAAAACAGTACCCATGTGCCTAATTTAAGTAATGAAGCAAACTGTGTCTACTAATTAACGTAGATCTTTCATATCTTTTTCTTTTTAGTATCAAAGTGAGACAAGGGTATAGATTAAAAGCGCTTCCAAGGAAGTCCGATCGAAAAAAAACTGAACAGTGATGTGTGGCACGTAATTTTGAATTTTCGAACAATGTGTACAATCTCCATAAATGAATTTTTTGGGCAAATGTGTTGAAAAGAATTTTCTTATATGAATCGGTAGTTGCTGAGGTTAGCGCGTTCAACTAAAAAATCAAACAAACACACTCTTCGGCTTTATAATATTAGTATAGATAAAAGATAGCCACAGGAATCGGTCTATTTATTTTTTATTGACTTAACGTGAACATAATTTACTGTTTGTAGTTTAAGTAAGCTAAGAGGAGCTCGATGGCGCAAGTGGTTAGCGCGTTCGGCTGCGTTCGTTGAAGTTAAGCAACTTTCGCAGTGGTCGGTCATTGGATGGGTGACCAAAAATTTACTATCTCGAGCTCCTCCGTGCTTCGGAAGGCACGTTAAGCCGTTGGTCCCGGCTGCATCTGCAGTCGTTAGCACCCACCAATCCGCACTGGGCCCGCGTGGTGGGTCACGGCCCAATCTCCCTATTCCATCCATAGGGAAGGCCTGTGCCCCAGCAGTGGGGACATTAATAGGCTGATGATGATGATGATGATGAAAATTAACTACGTTCAAGGGGTAATCATTAGAGTTTGCATTCTTTGCCCGCGCTGTACTATACTACACAACAGCTACATTCCGTAACATATTCAAGTCTAGTATAAATGATGTCAAATTAACTTAAGCTGCGCGCTACATCTTCGATCGCGTCATCGTCAAACGTTAGCCTAGATAGCGACCAAACCCGAATAACTTGAAATATGACTGATTAAAAAAACGGCGGCAATAGTTTTTGACGAACAGAGCTATGCCAGAAACCTTTTTTACCGAATAATAAATATATGCCATGTCCTGACGTATTTCCAGATTTGAATACAGCTTTTTATTTTAATAAAACTCATCTAGAAGACAAAAGCAAACCTACCTCTGATGATGTTTTTTTTATATGTAAGTTAATAACTAAGAAAATAAAGAAAGTTATATTCTAATCGGTTACTTATGTTTTAGAAATGTCGTTCTAGACTGATTTTCTAAATAAACGTAGGTACTGCGTAGATCGGCTAACTGAGCCCGAAGCGTGAAGCGAAAATCATTGTTGTGTAAATATATTTACACTATTGTAGCACTGAGCGTTGCGGATGTCTGTGCCATTTTATGATTCTCATTCATTACTTTCAACTAATGCGACATCCCGTGACCACCTAAAAGTAATATAATATAATTTAGGTTTCTTGTAGTAATCGACTATTAATTTTCAAATGGAATACAACAAATTTTGATATTCAGAGAGATTTATATTAATGTGTTGTGTATCTAATATCTATTAAATAAATAATAAATAAATAAATATTTCCAACACTCACACCAATTAGCCTGGCCCCCAAGTAAGCACTATAAGGCTTGTGTTATGGGATACTAGGGCAACGGATAGAATGCATATACTGTACATATATAAGTATATTGTAATAGAAATACGTATAAAACATCCATGACTGGAGTACAAATGCTCGTGTTCATCACACAAACATCTGCCCCCACCGGGATTTGAACCCGGGGACCTCTTGAGTCGGCGAAACCATGAAACCCGGCGTACAAACCGCTCGGCCATGGAGGTCGTCATTAGAATCACATATATAAATTTAATATGACAAATCTATATTTGGAGGCATCGGTTAACAATAAGCACGATTTGTAGATCACGGAGTATCATTAACAAAACTTATTTGTTTCAGATCGTGTGTTCGCCCGCAAACCGACCGTTTGTGGCTTCGTAAAGCGACACTTAATCCGACGACCGAAATGGTGCCATAGCTATGTATGCAATGATGATTCGAATGAAACGACAAAATCGAACTGATAGCGATAGTTGAGTGGTGACAGTGATACGGAAAAGTGAAGCGTTGCAGCGAGTAAGTTGCATTGGGCGCCAGTAACACGTTGGGCGCCAGCAATACGTTGGGCGCCAACAGACGGAAGCAACATTGACTGTTCGGTGTGTTCAGTACGGGGCATGAGCCTAGGCGTTGAGCAGTGACGGCGGCCGGGCGGCTGCAATGGGCGCGGCGCGCCATGCGACCGCGCACGCGCCCGCTGCGGCTGCTCCTCGCGGCGCTGGCGCTGGCGTCGTGCGCCGCGGCGCCTGCCCCAGAGCCGCGCGCGCAGCGGTCCGCCAACCTGAGCCACATTACAGGCACATCGCGCACGATACAAATGTTCTTAAGGAATCGGTACCTGCAGCTGATGCCAGACGGCACCGTCAACGGCACCACAGATGGCAACAGCGCTCACAGTGAGTATTTGAAATTAATGATTTAAAATATATATTACGGAGATATATGGTAGGTTAGGTATTTAAATACATTTAATAGGCAACTGCAACAGTGATTACGATATAATACAGAATTCTACTTTCAAAATCTGATGTTTTTAACTTAAATGACGTGTGTGTTGACGACGTAAGTTATTTATTCAGATATGAAATAAATATGTTTTGTTTATGTTTTTTGTACTTTCACTTGATAATGCTTTCGTGTTATTCCACTAGATTCTACTTTTCATTAAGTTGATAAACTTCTTAGAACTCTCTAAAACGTTACAATACTAGGAAAATCACTCAACGGTATATAAGTATATATAATATAAAAATATAAAATACCAGAGGTGCCCCGCGGCTTCAGCCGCTTTCATTTGAGGGAAAAGGTTATAGTAGGTCACCCTTAAAAAACTCAGATATACGTTGCTGCGGACTTTATTATAGAACTTTTAAAGGGGAACAATTTCGTAATAGGTACATGGTTTTTGTGTAACTTTAACCGTTTACGCAGTGCTCGCAACGAAAGCTTGAAAAGTTATATATTTTTCCCGTTTTCGCAACATGTTTCCATTGATGTTCCTCTTCTATTAGTCTTATCATGATGTTGTATAGCCTATAACTTTCCTCTATAAATCGGGTATTTATCACAATTTATTTATGATATTAGTGCGGTAAGTTGGTTATTACAGACAAATAGACGAATGTAAGCCCGGGACAAAGTCGAGGGCTTACCATAGTCACGAGTTTGTAAACTAAATACCAACCCGTACGAAAATCATACAACGTTTTTCAACACATTTGCGAGAAAACAGTACCCATGTGCCTAATTTAAGTAATGAAGCAAACTGTGTTTAATAATTAACGTAGATCTTTCATATCTTTACTCATATCTTTTTGGTATCAAAGTGAGACAAGGGTATAGATAGATTAAAAGAGCTTCCAAGGAAGTTCGATCGAAAAAAAACTGAACAGTCATGTGTGGCACGTAATTTTGAATTTTCGAACAATGTGTACAACCTCCGTAAATGTTTTTTTTGGGCAAATGTGTTGAATTTTCCTATATGAATCAGTAGTTCCTGAGGTTCCACCAAACAAACACACTCTTCGGCTTTATAATATTAGTTTAGATTTTGTTTATGTTTTTTTGTACTTTCACCTGATTCAAAAACCTGTTCATAATTATGTATAGATAAAAATGTTGGTTCATCTTTGTCGATATATTTTATGGTAATGTTTTTGCCAACTGAAGTTGTTTATGATAATGATTAAATAAAAAACTCGTAAAACTACTTGCGATCGTCTAGTATAAGTCGAAATATGATTATTTTAAATTCTGGTTTATCTAACGGAACTGTACTTGTTTGAAAAACAATATTATTCTGTACTTTTTCGGGATTACCTCTCAACTGAACGTTATGTTTTATTGCGAAATCCGTTGACCATTAATTTCTTTGTCATATCTTTTGGATCACTTTTTCTTTAGCAAGTCTTAGATTACATGTCTCACACGATAGACATTCAAATGGCTCTGTAATAACACATGGAAGTCGAATTAGTGCGTTCAATACAGGATAATTACATATTTGGTGAATAATATCTTTAAAGTCAGTTAAGTCAAATTGTGATAATGACTCAATAGTTAGATTTGTATCGCCGGAAGGTAAAACATGGTGGTCCGTTGTATTACACCGTCAGATTCAGATCGTAAAAGTGTAATAACTACTTTAGCGACCGTCTTCGTTTCGATAGAAATTCAATCCCATTGCTCTTGAACAAGATAATCATCAATTTCTTTCACGACTGAACCGAATTTATAACTTCACTCTTTGCACAGTTTATTAAGCCGTAGTTACTTCCGTACTTTTAAAGGTGCGTCCGTAACTTTTTTAAAGTTCATGTGATAGTTTTTGTTTTACACCTCTAAAATGCTCAAAAAGTATTAAGTTTAAAATTTTATAGATACTTCCCCCATGATGTAGTAGTCCGTACTTGTTTTCCATTTATACAATTCAGACTGTTTAAGTAAGATATTACTGTTTGGTTGGAGTACTATTAACTCTTAAACATTCATGAACATGAAACATGTATGTAAGACCGTAACCTCTTCAGGGTTCCTGGTAGTAATTTTGTATCCGTTACATTTTGAAATGGCAAATCCAACTTTGCTTTCATATTTTGCATCCTATTTGCAAATTAGACCTTATGTCCAAAACCGAGAGAAGCTTATTTCGCTTTTAAGGTTTCATCAAATTGTGTAATCTTTCTTGGAGTCTGGTAATCTGCTCTGATTATATCAATTTCTTTTTTATTGAAGCCGATTTAGCAACCAGCGCAATCAAAACGTTGTCTCATTGTGCTAGAGATTTTAAGTCCAATATAGAATTGATAGAATCGGAATGAGCTGATAAATTTGGTAGATTTAGCAGAGAAGATGTGCAGAGTGAGAATATTGTTATTGAAAATGGAATACAAATATACCATTTTATTAGAAATTGCAAATAAACACCACACCATGTGTTTGATACACTACATTGACTCTTTGTCAGCGGAATTTTCACTGAAAAGCTTTCGCGAATTGCAAAATAACTATTATTCTCTATACGTCGTTAGTTGTTTTTCTACGATGCTTTTAATTTCAATCTCTCGTTTATTTCTTTATTGACTTTCTTTTTATCGAACATTATAAAAAGTCTGCCCGACAATTCAAAAATTGTTAAGATCTCATTTTATTTTACAAGATTCAAATCATTTTAATTTTGGAGATGCGTTCGATACGTTCGTTCAAGCGTGGTCCTTTATTTGGTATTTATGTGTTCAAATTAAATATGATCTTTAATGGCATTCGAAAACAAACGGCGTTTTTTCTCGTAAGGGTTTTAATTTTGGTTCATATAATGTTAATACAAGTTCATTCACGTGGATTTGAAATGGAGATTCGTTCTTTTTAGCAGTTCTTCACGGGTCACGGACCGTGGTAGGTAAGGTGATGGTATTAAAATGCGTTTTGTATTATTCCAGTGCGCTACATTTATCGTTGACATTCTTCATTTGACACAAAAGGAGAAAGTGAGGGAAACAAGAGGTGCGATAATTCCTATTCCTCCGAGATATATGTATAGGGTATCCATAATATGGCATTTCGTGAATAAAATACAGTGAATGATATACCATATCAATATGATACTGTCAATTTTTTTTAAATATCGATGAATGCATAATGGACTTTTGATGCTGAAATTTCATGTAATGATTTGAATACAATAATGACACAGACTAATTTGATTCAATGTTGTAGACAAAAGCCTAAGATATTCGGATCATCACTTTCAAATACATAGCTTCAACTTTTGTCACTTAAAGTTCAAAACTGAAAAAATAATGACAAAAGGAATGATTCAGTCTCGGCCTACTCGATCGCCTATTATATTTAAGTATCGAATGTATGTAAAATAACATTAAACGTCATATAAGTATTATAATACTTGAAAATAAACTTTCGATAATCCTGAATTGGGTTTTAAAATGGTGGCCCCGGTTGCGGTTTACTTGTAGGTACATCCCACATCCAGATGAGAGATTAAACGTAATAATGGCGATCGGCAGCCATCTTTGACGAAGAGCGGATTTATTGTCTCTGGCAGACACATAAATTCTGAGATGGCACCTACAGATTTCTTTGAGTTGACACCATATTAGGTGCAGTAATATTTTACACGCTTAAACTTTGAATTGAAACATGTTGTTTTAGTTCTATTTATATAAAGGATATTCTTAAACTATAATGTCTTTATTTATTCACATATCTTTGGATGTAAGTAGAATTGAAGCAAAAGATAAAAATATTAAATTTTATTTTTATTATTCAAAGACTTTAATGTGTCATTTCATTGGGCCGAATCAACATTAAAATGGTTCTAATAAATGTTATAGTGTTATGGTTATGCCAGAGTTTCGTTTTTAAAAAAAATCATGCAACACATTATGTATATTATCATTGATCACAATAATGTCATACTTAATCTGAATGTAACTCGATATTATCTATATGGGACAGGTCGAAAAGTCCGAATGCGACTTCTTATGAAAAATTGCCTAATATAATATTTGTTCATCAAAGCAGGTAAAGTAAAGGCTGGTGCACAATATTTGTAATGCTATCCGGACTCATTAGAACACGGAAATTTTTACAATATAAAATTTTCCATAAAAAAAAACATTCTACCCCTTATTTCCAATAAACATCTCCGCTTTTCTTCCGTGTTAATTCTGTCTTCTGTATAAACAGTAAAATTTACTACCCCCTTAAAAATCAGTTTGCTACTTGTTGAATATAATATTTTTATCTTTTACGTTAAATGCTCCGCTTTAAGAAAATTCCACTTAGATTGTTATGTAATTAATTTCTGTTACTATGCGGCTTGATTGTGTGTTATGTTCTTGGCCTTATGTCGATCATCTGAAGCGGACCGTTAATGAAAACCAGTCGGGTTTCCCATGCACTTATCGTGTTACGCTGACGTTTATACGTGGCAACTGTCAAAATTGATCGAACCTTATCTTTTGACGTTTGTACACAACCACTAGATCTGTATCCGATCCGTCCATACATACACGTCCGCTAATTGATAATAATCGATAAATTATGCAATATATTTGACAGGTGCGTGAGATCAAGTATAAAAAAAATATTATTATTAAAAAAACCGGCCAAGTGAGAGTCGGACTCGCGCACCGAGGGTTCTGTACAAACCTGTAGATATATTTTAAAAATTATTAAAATATATTATTCGCAATTCCTTTACCTGTACTATAAGACGTTACTTCGTACCAAATTGAAAGATTCTAAGTTCACGGGAAGTACCTTTAGGTTTTGATTCCCGTGCGAGTTTCGAAAATTTTCGGCTTAAACGGCTGTATCTTTTGATTGCTTTGGCTTAGAAGTTTGATTTTTTCACAGCTCCATGGGACAGTAGACC